GTATTACATTTTATCTTTTTTTTTCTGTTACCAATTTAAGTTAACTTATAATTATCGTTACATTAACATTGCATTATATTGTATCGACAATGAACAAATTTTCCAATTTCGGAAATTTTAGGAAAGGCGGGCTCGTATTTTATGTTCAATGATTTTCTGTTCGGAAATATTCGGGTTTACGGCCAATCACCGTAACCATACCTTCCATAAATTGGCCGCTGGTATCACGTGACTCCGGTTCTAGGCTACATGCACCATATATGATATAAATAAGCTGAGGCGCGGTTTGCCTTGATTTTCTGAAATGTCACTTTTTGCTCGTAACAGTACAAATTAGATAAGAAAAGAGTAAATGAACGGATACAAATTAGGTGATCATTAAAAAAACAAACGAATAAACGCGATACAAATTAGGTGATCGTTAAAAAAAATGGATAAACGCAATACAAATTAGGTGATTGTTAAAAAAGAAAAAAGATAAACGTGATACAATTAGTAATCTCTACAAAAGCAAAAACAAATTTTGTTTAATATTCACGTGTCAGTTTTAGTAACGAAACGAAACACCCCTGAAGTTGAGCACCGTAGAATGCCGTATACAAGTACCTCTCGATATAAGAAACCTTCGATATAAGAAACTCTTGATATCAAAAAAATTTTACAAGTTCCAATTGAGAATTTTATAATAAAAAGCCTTCGATATAAGAAAATTTCGATATAAGATTTTGACCGGATCTGACAACTTTCATATACCAAGAGTCACTTGTACAAGAAACCATCCCAGCGTTACTTAAACATTCTTTTGCATAGAAAGGGCCTAGAATGCTTGGAAATCAAAAATAAGATTTTTTTAAGATTCGAGTAAATTTCGGCGCGGAAATCGATTGGCATAAAAAAATTTTGGAAGGTTTGTACGCTTGTACTGTACAGTATACCACGAACAATAAATGTCGCGGATCATAATGAGGGGTTTCTATTTGTCCCACTTATACTTGTTTATTATAAAACCTACCCCCTAAACCCTAATCCTAACCCACCACAAAAATTTGTATTTTTTGGTGGCTTGTCTATTTTATACTATCTCCCATTTCATTTTAATCCGTCACAGATGAATTCGGTCACCAAATCTGAGTATTTGGTCCCCAATTTTAAATTTTGGTTTACAATAACGCGTGCGTCTAACCTATCTTTCCCACGTGCTAACCCATCTTCCCCACTTTTGACGTATCTTATTAGACATAAAATTTATTGTAATGTCGACCTTTACCCGGGATAGTAGTTATTTCATTATTGTTTACTTAGTGGTCAAATTTTTCAAATTTTTGCAATGTATCTACCCGGGTATAATCTCTAGTTGGTATAACAATACGACATTAGGAAAAGTAACCTATTTTAAAGTCTATATATTTTATTATTATTAATATATATTTTATTTCTTTATATAGCTATTTACATAATTTATATATAATGAAAGAGAATTCAAATTTTTCACAGAAAAATATGAACAAGTAAATGAATAAGATTATACAATAAAAGTTTAATACATTATAATCATTATAATCATGTTAAAAAAAAAAAGATGCAATATTCAAGAATAAAACTAAAGAAGCTAAGTTTATACAGAAAATTCAATTATCGCTATCCCAACATTAATATCGATATCGCACAGAAACATTTTCTGTAATACATTATTTTTTTCAATAATACTGATGAAAATTCATTCAATAACCTGTTACTCGAACAACTATTTGGTGATTAAGTCATATTTGGCATGTTCAGAAGATTTTCTTTTTTTGGATGACATCAATTTGAGAGTTTTAAAAGATTTGAAAGGCTTTAAGGGAGAGTATTTTGTAGATTTTTCGTTTTTCTAAGAATAGATTAGAATAAAATTAGAATAAACAGAGAGTAAGGTATATATTGAAAAAAAAACAACCGTGTTATTTACATGCCTTCTTATGATTACGATATGGATCATGATCATGCTTTCTTTCATAAATAACAGATTTTTTACCTTTATTTAGCACAAGGAGATGTTTTTCCGAGGTAAGATCGTCAAAACTTTTACAAATGCAAGAGCGATCAATAATCTGATATTTTTGGTTATCTTCCAACGAAAACCAACTTGCAGTAATGATGTTGTCATTTTCATCTATTAAAGAAAACTCTTCAACATTAAATGCTTTTGCTATTTCTTGTTTGATATCGTCTTTAGAATCTGTTTGAAAGAATCTAAATTTTATATACAAACTCGAAGAAGCTTGAGACTGGTAGTCTTGGTTGTCATCTATATTATTATGAGGTAAAGGTGGATAATTAAGAGAGAGTTTGACCAATATGGTTTTTGGAGGAGAGTCGGTTAAAGTAATATCTAAATAAGAATTTGGATGAAATGAAGACAATGAATTGTTCGAAGGTATTTGCGATGGAGATGACATTCTTTAGATAAGTTTACGTCGTAATAGTTATAATAATAGATGTAATAATAATTATAACAGTAACAATAGTTGTAAAATATATAAGGGTTATAACAGTAGTAGTCGTTATAACAGTAATATATAATAGTTATAATAGCAGATGCAAATCTTGAATTACATAGATAAGATCGATAATTAGTTCGATACTATTGCTGTATTGGGGAAGGTTCGCAAAATAATCGGGCCAAAAGTAAAATTGCATTTATATAAGTTTCTGATAAACTTCAATGGGAGTTCCTAGTCCGACGTAAAATTGACAAGCAATCTTTAACATAATATCTTTAATACAGTAATATAAACAACCTATTAACCTTAATTCGAGTATATGCATATACGATCTTAGAGATTTTAAAAAGGAAAATTAATCATTGTCCGATTTATTTTTCATCATGGTTAGTCGTACACTTGTCTTGAAGATAATAAAATATGGTATTAACTATGTATTAATCATCACTTATTTGCTATTAAAGGAAAGTATTTACTTTTTTTAACGTACATGATCGATTCAGAAGTATACATAGTCAAAAAAAAATTAGTAAATTATTCCATGTTGAAAACTAAATAGTCGAATAAATTATAACAGACAATGATAAACAAGTTTTGAAGCGGGATAACAGTGACTTGGATTTTTATGGTAGTTGAACTCTTTCTATAATTTGTTTACTCCATTATTCTTTTTCTCTAATTTCTTACTCCGTTATCATTATTGGTTGACCCTTTTTGAACATCGTTCTCAAGCATCTATCAGCTATCTCAAAACGCACTTAGTAATGCTTACTATTAAATTTGATCTCAAAACTATTATTATGTCCCATAATCCTGTATTAACACTTTTTTTTTTAAATGTTGTAATTTGAAGCACAAAATTACGATTATGATATTGTCTTTTAATTAATATATACATAATATAAAATATTAAAAACCTTTCGATACCCTTTTAAGTTTTTGCATTACCGTTACAGTAATCCGATAACACCGATTTCAAAAACTTATCGAATTCGGCCGATCAATTTTTGTCACGGATTATCGTGAAATCGGATTATCGTGAAATTTGGATCTATTTTATGTACGATTTTTAAAAATTTTTAGG